ATATTGTATGTTATTTATCTTTGTCATTTTTACGCATGTGTTTATATGTTTATATGTATACCGGACGGGGCCTGATGACTGGTAGATCTGTTCCGAGCAAGGCCTGTTATATGTTTGATATGTATGGTATGTGGTATTTTGGGGAACTCACTAGGGTTTGTGCTTACGATTTTCAGTTAATGGTTCAAGTACTTCTGGTTGCAAGGGGGAGAGCTCGGGATGATTGCAGTCCACACAACACATTGTTCCGTATATTATATTACTCTAATGTACTTGGATGTTTATTGATACACCTTGATTCACCATGGTTTTTTTATGATGTTGTTTTGGATAATTGAGTTTTTAGTTTAATAATCAAAAAATTTAGTCTATATTTTTTGGACATTGCACAAAGGAGTTATAATTTGCCTTTATGTTGATGATATGTTAATTTTTAGTACTGATCAAGGTGAAGTTGATAAAACCAAGAAATTCTTAACATCTAGTTTTGACATGAAAGACACGAGGGAGGCTGAGGTAATTCTTGGTATATGAACTAGAAAAGGAAACAATGGGATTTCAATTTCTCAATCTCATTACATTGAGAATATATTGAAAATTTGTAACTTTGAGAATTGTTCTCCTATAATCACTCCTATAGATCATAATATTAGGCTTCTACCTAATAAAGGATCTCAATGTCTCAACTGAATATTCTAGAGCGATTGAATGTCTTATGTATGTCATGATTAGTACTAGGTTTGATATAGCTTTTGATGTAGGAAAGCCTAGTAGATATACTAGTAATCCTAGTGCATATCATTGGCAACTAGTGAATAGAGTATTCAAGTATTTGAAAGGATCCATGGATTATGGTTTAACATATAGTGGATATCCTTCTATTTTTTAAGGTTATTCTAATGCAAGCTGGATTAACAACATAGAGCATCACTCCTCTGCAAGTTGTTGGGTGTTTCTTCTTACATGAGGTACCATTTCTTGGGCATCGAAGGAACATAATTGTATTACTAACTAAACCATGGTAGATGAGTTTGTTTCATTTTCTGTTTCTGGTAAAGAAGTTGAGTGGCTAAGGAATTTGATTTATGAAATTTCATTATGGCCTAAACCGATATCTACCATTTCTATCAGATATGATAGTGTTGCAACCTTGGCTAAGGCTTATAGTTAAGTGTATAATTGAGAATCTAGACATTTAGGTCTTAGACATAGCATGATTCGTGAATTACCATGACTGGTGTGATATTTGTGGAGTTTGTGATAACTCGATGCAACTTAGCCGATCATTTATCCAAAGGTTTAGCCAACAATCCAATACACAAGGTGGCTGTAGAGATGGGTTTAAAGTCCACCTAAAATCTTTTATATTAAGATACCCAATTCCCATCTAATGCAATATTAGATGTTGAATTCAATGTGGAAAGGTTAATATTTGAAGTTTGGAATACATTATTATCATCATCCCAAGGTATATGTGAGTACTTTCTTAATAGTTCTTTGAAAAATTGCATTTGCAGGTGCAAGAACAAAAGAACTACCTATATAAGCATGAAGTTTAGCTGCTTCAAGAAGTTGTGACTTGACTTTGGTATGCTTATTGAAGGATGGGACACAAACTAGTAAAATGTAGTGTCAAGTTTGAGCTTATGAGTATATAAATTTTTGTATGTTTTGTCTTCATGTATTCACTATGAATAGAAAGGTTTCAATCCTTAGTAACACTATGATATTCAAATATTTGGATTATATAATATACTAAAGTGAAATTCAATCATTACGACATTTCATTTATGCATCAGTTTATTGTTTTTTTTGTTTTGTTTTAAGTTAACCAAGATTACACTTAAAGAGGGGGGGGGGGGGGGGGGGGGGGTTAGTCATTTGTTATCATCAATGTTATTTAAGAGTAATGAGATTAACTTTTTTGACCAAAATCTTGATAAATATTAAACAGGTAAGGAAGGTGTGGAGAACACACTTGTTTAAGTTGATCAAGTTTCATATTACACTATCATTTACGGGTGAAGTCGTTGGCATATTAGTCTAAAAACCAAATTTATAATAGGGCGCCTGTTTTAAAACAGGAAAACGCATCTTAGTGTAAAAATGGAGCGCCTGTTTTAGAATAGGAAAATGTGTCATAGTCTAAAATGGACATTATCTGCCTTACACTAAATGTGTCGTTTTGTCATGGAACTTTATTATTTGGCTTATGCTGTTGTATAAAAAATACATAAGACATCCAAAATTTGAATTTTATGACAGTTTTTGACTATTTTCATACATGAAACTGTTTTGTGATAGTTTTTAGAAAAATGAGGTATTTAACCGAATTTTTCATCAGCTTTTGGTACTTACGAAATTGAACTTCTCATTCTCTGTTCTGAATCTCTTCTGAGTCTTATCCAATCAAATATTAGGGTGGATCATTCAAATACTTTGATTTGAAAGTCGTGGTCGTTTCTAAGGATTCAAATTCCCAGGACGAGGTGGGTACAAAAGGTACTTAGGCCTTAATGTGTAACGAATCAAATTACATAAACTAATTTTTTTTAATTAAAATGACGATAAACTTTATAGAAATAAACAAAGCAAAATCATAGTATTTTAATGAGTAATTACATATACTAATAGTTAATCGACGATCCGTGAAGCTCTCCTAGCATTCTTAATTGCAAATTGGTTGATCAACTCTTCATAGTCTATACTCTCTAAGATTTTGTTCTCAATAGATATCATTGTCAAACCACTAAGTCTTTCTTTTGTCATTGTGGAGTGTAAGTAAGATTTCACAAACTTCAATTTCAAAAAACTCCTTTTTGCAAATGCAACCGTTAGTGGAATAGTCAACAATATTCTATATGCAATGCTTGCATTTGGGAAATAATCAAGCTCTTTTAAAAACTTCAAAACATGTATATGGTTGCTAAATTCATTGGTTTCCAATGTCTCAAATAATTTCAACTCTGTATAAAGTTCCTCGGCATTAATATCCGATTTTTCTTCAAACTTGAGTGCTTTTTCAAGACAACAACAATACGACTTAAGATCTTTATCTTCAATTCCCCTAAAATTATTCGGAAATAAAAAACCAAATACTTTGTCATACTCTTTGAATTGTTCAAATATTATCTTAAGATAAGAAATATGATCAACAATGAATAAGAAATAATTGACTCTAAAATTCTCTTCATGTGTAAATGAAACTTCTTCGCTAGTTGAACTATCATCAAACCTTTTTTCCTTTCAATCAAACGCTTTTGTGGAAATATTGGATCAATACTCATTTCAATAGCAATCTCCTTAGCTTCAACGATCGCATTTGAAGAACCAGTTTTTCTATAATCCTTGAAGTACTCAATCAATTTGTTTATTTATGTAATAGCATTATCAAGATGCATATCTTTTGATTGTAACTTCTTACTCACAATATTCATATCGTTTAGTACTTTATATCAAATAACAGTTGATACCAAAAATTCAAAGCCACCAACTTCTCTTTCTGCTAGTGAAATTGTTTCACTTGTAATTGCAACATCATTATCTTTTTCTCCAACTTGAAGTAATGCTTCCCGTACATCCACAAGTTGAAGTTTAATAGCCTTTAGACTCTCAACCCGACTTTCCCAACGACTTTGACACAATGACTTAAGACTCCAAGCTTTAACATTATCTTTCAAAATTTCCCACCTCTTAGTCGAATTTGCAAAGATAGTATAAATGTGATGGATGCATCAAAAAAAAAGTTCTTTCCTTTAACACACTTGTTAGCCATATCACATAATGTTAGTTTAAGAGAATGAAAACCACAATGAGTGTAAAATGCTCTAGAATTTACATCTAAAAACCTATTTTACACTCCTTGGTGTTTTCCTTTCATGTTTGCTCCATTATCATAGCCTTGACCACACATATCATCAATTTCAAAACCAATAGACTTTAACTCCTTAAGTGTAATATTAAATAGTCCTTTTCCAGAGGTAACATCAACATTAAAAAAACCTAAAAATGACATCTCGAGAGTAACAAAATTATATGATAATATTAAATACCTCACTATTATAGTCATTTGTTCCTGGTGACTTGAATCGGGAGTACATTCAAGTATGATTAAGTAGCACTTTGCTTCCTTTATCTTCTTGATAAGTTCTTTTTTAATTTCTTGAGCTAGCAAAGGTAATAGTTCGTTTTGGATTAAATAGCCAAGATAATGCACATGAAGCCCATCACTTGTGATCCGCCATACATGCTCTTTGATAACGGTCAAACTCTTCCAACATTTCAATGACACCCAAAAAATTTATGTTACCTACTAAATACAGTTAACAAATAAGAAGTGAAATTAGTCATAATAATTAACAAAAAGGTATTTGGTGAAATTAGAACAAAAAAATTACAATTTATAGTTACCTTTTTTATATAACTTTTCATTGGATCCATGAAATGCTAAATTATGTTTAGCAAGAAACTTCACTACTGCAATGATTCTCAAAAGGACTTGTTTCCATTAATCTCTTTCTTTCTTGAATTGCTCATATTAAACTTTATCAATTGTTTCATTCAAGTTCAATCTTTTACGCATATCAAACCACTTATTCCTATTTGTAAGATGATCCAATGAAATTTCGTGCTAGTGGTAACATGGTGCCAATCTGCATAACCTTTACCATCCAACTTACCGTTTGAAATCACTTTTCTAAATACTTTACAACAAAAACGAAATACCATGTCTAGCTATTTCGATATACTAGCCATTCTCTATCACACTTCTCCAAATTTGGTAAAGTTCTTATATATAAAGCTGCAACAAACCGTCTACCAAATTTATCATAGGGACCATACATAATACTATTATCTCTTTTAGGACCTTTCTAGACCAAAAGTTTAATCTCCTTAGAATTAAGTTTTTCCCACCTTCTTGGATTATATATATCAACAAGCTCTTAAACGGACTCTTGCTCTTCTGCCTCTTCTACTTCTATATGCTCTTGCTCTTCAACATGCTTTTCAATGTGCTCTTCAACATGCTCTTCACTAGGTTATCTATGGATAAATTTATCTAGAGAATCGGCATCAACCTTTCTCTTTTCTTCATCTAGTTTTCTTTTTTTACGTTTTTACTACCGGATGGTTGTTTAGACTTCAACTCTACAATTTTACAAACAATAAACATAATTTGATTCTTTAAACACTATGGTTTATGAATTCCAAATTTTAGATAAACAATTATACAATAAACATAATCTCATAATTTAATTTGTGTTTCAAATAATCTATTTCAAAATCATTCATTGATTTCATTTAACATTGTAAATCATTCATTCAGATTTCAATATGAGAATATGACATAATGACAATATGACATATTGATAAACAATTAAACATTCATGAATAGCATTCAAGAATCAAAAAAATTAAACAGTTAAAGAAAAACATTTATACAATTACATAATTAAACATACCATGAATCTGAAAAATTGATAATCTGTTTATTCTATAATTCTTTCAAACATTCACCTGATTCAAGTATGCAATTGAATTAACAATTATAATTTACAAACTTATAATCCTTAATTCTTTATTCCTCATTCCTTAATTTCTCTAATTGTCTAAGACTCTAATCGTGATCGACCCTCACCTAGAATTTGTTGTAGTGTTGTATCAACGTTGGAGGATTAAGGATGGACAATGATTCAATGAATGATTGAATGATGAATCGATGATTGCTGCTGCACGCTGTCGCCGAGGCATGATGCCCTGCCCACTGTCGACTGATTTGTAGTTTTGTTGATTGCTCCAATCGATTTTTTTTTCAAGAAACGAACACGATGAATCGATGATGTATTAATAATTGATTGAATGATCGATAGACGATCGTTGCTGTCTTCGGTTTTAGTTTGAATATGTCACGCTGATTTCCGATTGGATTGCCTGGGGCTGAAGTGCTGAACCAATAGATCATATACTATTAAAAAAATGGGTCCCTTAGAATTTTAGGTTCTGCTCCATTGCCCATATTACACCTGCCTTAAACCGGACATATTGAAAGTGAAATCACAATTCTAAATATCCAATTACTTTTATTACCCCTAAATTTCTAGCAGATTTGATGAAAATATATAGAATAGCATGAACGTAGATTGGAATATTGGATGAGAACCGAGATAAAAAGCCATGTGACACCGTTAACACTTTGAGTTTCGGGTCTTATTTCAAATATTTTCCTTCTAAAATAAGGACTAAAAGTGTTGTTACTGACATAATGAGGGACTAGTCATGTATCTTACTCCTCATTATATAAATCGTCAACCCTTACCGTTCTGTTTCGCGCTTTCCTCACGCTATCACACCATCCCCACTACATCCTACGATTGACACAGCCACCATCGTCCATCGCCTCTCTCGTTTACAGGTGACGATCATAATCTGTATGATGACTTAGTATTCCTTTTTTACTGTATTTACTCATCGTTTTAGGTTTAGTTAATCTCGAACACTTAATAGTGATATATTAGGGTTTACTAGATAATCCTGTAATCGTTATCAAACTAGTTTATTAATCTCGAACACATAATACAGGGATCGTATTTATAATAAATGATGCAACTGTTTTCTAATTTAGATTCTATAACTTTAGAATGCAATCCATCACTTGATGTTTAAATGCATACGATTTTATAGAGTTATGAATGTTAAACCTAGTACTATTCAAATTTGAAACTAACATCAATAATATTGACTGGGTTTCATTGTTTTCTATTTTCTTCTTTTTTAATTTGATGATTTTCTTTTTTTATAATTTACAGGGACCCTCATGCCTTTTGCCCCTCCGTGCACACATTGGTGGTTAAACGTGCTTGTGCACTGGTTCTTGAACCGAAATAACCTGGGAAGCCTCTGGAAGATTTTGTTCACAATTGGACATATTTTTATTAGTTGTGACACAAGATATTGTGTTCTTCTCTAACACGTTCATTTGGTGGACACTTGATTTTTTTTCATCATGGGGAAATCAATGAAGTGTCCAGGATTTCGTTTTAAACCTACTGATGTTGAGTTGGCTATGTACTACCTCAAGAAGAAGCTATTAGGTAAAAAGCTTCACCCCGAAGTTATTGCAGAGATTAATATATATGATTTCAGCCCATGGGATCTTCCAGGTATTAGTTTGTTGAATTTAAATGATATTAACAACTTGTTTCCTTGATTACTCTTTTCTTACATCTAACATCGGGAACCTTTATTATATTTTTTCCAGCCAAATCCATCTTGAGTGGTGATCTAGAGTGGTACTTCTTCTGCTCACAATCGAAAAAGTATTCAAGTGGGACCCGCACAAACCGTGCAACTGAAACCGGTTACTGGAAAGGAACCGGAAAAGATAGATAAGTCAAATACAATGGAAGAAAGGTGGCAGTGATAAAGACGTTGATTTTCCATCTGGGTCATCCACCAAAGGGGACAAGAACAAATTGGGTAATGCATGAATACCGAATGAAAGATGATGATTTAGCCAATCAAGGAGTTGCTCAGGTACTGTGTCTTATCATTTATAATAAACACAGGTTTTATATGAACTTTTTAGTAACTACTGAAATTACTTTTATTAACCTTTGTAACAAACTTGGGATGATGTGTATTGCAGGAGGCGTACGTAATCTGTAAAGTTTTCGAGAAAAGAGGTGCAGGACCACAAATTGGTTTGAAGAAGAAGAATGGGATGATGATGATGATGATGATGATGATGAGACATCTTCAGGGGTGGTTACTCTGTTGGCGAATCCTAATAATATCACATCTTTGGAAAATGAAAGACTTACAAATGTTCCTGTTAATGATGATGTCATGCTTACCCAGAGTGACCTTGCTCCAATGCTTTGTAATAATGACACTCAGGTATGCAATCTTTAAATAATTTCATTGGAAATTATACATACAAAGAAAACCTATCTCTTAGATGCATTCCAGATTTTCGTTGCTTCTCCTGTAGAAAGTAGTGAATTTTGTTTTTTCTTGTGATGTCTACAGGAGGTAGAAGATGGAAGTAAAGGGAAGTTAGCAGACATGAGCAACTTAGATGATTTGGGACAAAATGCAATTAACATGTTTTTCATTGATGGATTTGCTGATGATGATGATGATAGACTGAAGTTGGATGCATTTCTGCAAGATGATTTCTTAGACTGACATTGATTGAACGTGGCTATATATCATACTTTATCAACTTTTCTTTGCTTTCTTGATGATATTGATTGAAAGTGTCCTCAATGTAGTTTTAATCAATAAAAAATCAAGACATATCCAAAAAGAAAAACATTTTTTTTTTTTGAAAAATCACATGTCAAGTTGAGAACAAAGTTGGAGACTGGGGTGGAAGAATAATAGAACAATAACCCAATAAAATCCCAAGAAAACATATCCAATGGAATGCAATCTTTTATAGTTTTATTTTATCAACTGAAAATTACAACGTAGTTTCTTAGTCAGAAGTGAACCGCAAAATATAAATTAAGAACAAACTCTAGATTCTAACAAGCTAATTCAAAATACGAATTCTATCCAAAAATGTGTCTAATGGATTCACAATTAATGTCCTCTATGAGAAAGAAATGACTATATAGATGTCAGGTTAAATATGACTAATGGATACACAAACTCTCCTTTTATGAACTTGGTTTTGAACAAAAGTCACTATATAGAATTACTAAACGTTTGATAGTGGGACTTACGAAATATGACTAGATAAGATTGAACAGAACTATACACGATCAGATAAATTGTTAATATGGGGTTTGATAAGACTAGGTACCAAATAATATAAATTCTAAAGAACATTTAAAACAACTAACAACATCCATATTAAATATCATTCTTGAAGTTGAAACCACAAATTACTTTATGTCGAAACCTAAACTAGACAATTTTTTTTTTTGAAATTATTTGTTTAAGAATAAATTTATATTATTTGTTTAAAAACACATATGAGTAATGAAAATATTAAGTATCATTCTTTAAACTAGCCTTGTTGAAAATAACCGAAACCCGAATTACCCGTCCAACCCGTTTTTAATTTGGGCGAATTGGGTTGGGTAACTCGGGTAACGGGTATAAATTTTCGGGTATTCGGGTTATCTGATTTTTTATTAGATCGAGTATAGAGTATACGTATAGGGTTTCCATTATACTGGAAATACCCGATTTTAAAATAAATAAATAAATAAAGAGCATGTTGTGTAATATCCACTTACACATGTTATCTTTTCCTAATAATCATGTACCACTTTGATTAGTTATTGATTTGCGTATGTTTTTCTTGCTTTTTTTTGTTAGTTGTAAAGTCTTGTATTTTTCTTATAGATGTGTTTCTTCTTTATAGGTTGCAAAATCACAATTAGAAAATGAATGTTCTCGACATAACAACATCGAAGTTTAGAATTGAAATCATGAAACAGGTCCATGTGCTACTTGTGATTTTCCGTAATATCTATTTATTATTATATATAATATAATATATCTTTCAATTGGTTAATATTTTAATAAAAAATGGAATATTCTCACAAATTACCATCATAAATGGTAATTTATCCCAACTTTTTAGACATTTCTCAAAAATACTACCATGTCTAAAATCGGATATTTGGACTAGATTGGACTAGACTAACTTTATTGCTTTACATTTTTATACAATAATTTGCAGTTGATGACAAATATAACAGCCATGAAAGATTAAAAGGGTGCGTGAGTCTAATTGGGATTACTTGTGTCAAATATGTGGAGGCGCTTTGCAACGACAACTTGATGATTTGATAAAAGTTATTGGCAATTTTCAGCCCACAAATGAGAAGGATTCTTGGAGATGGGATGTTGATGGTGTCATGGGGTTTTCGGTTCATGATACTAGGCAACTTATTGACAAGGTTTCGCTTCCAGATGGATCTATCAGTTACTAGATCGAATCAATGTGTGCCGCGGAAGGTAAATATTTTGTGTTGGCGGGTGTTGCGAGATCGACTTGCTACAAGGTGGAATTTAAGTCTTAAAGGTTTCGAGCTTCCTTCTTTGGTTTGCCCTATGTGTGATGATCACGTGGAGAAAAAGGATCATCTTTTTCTCTTATGTAATTGGCGGGTTCTATTTGGCGAAGGGTTTTTAAATGGATTGATCTAGTGTTGCTGGTTGGAATATGTTACAAGACATATTTGATTGGCTAGATATGGTCTCTGGATAGAGAGAAAAACAGATTGATTATTCAAACGGTCATTTGGATGATGTGGAGATTTCGAAATGATATTATATTTTGTGAAGTGGTTCCATCTAAAGTTTTTATTTTTGATAATATTGTTAATATGTCTTACAATTGGTTTGTTCATAGAAACAATAAGGTTAAAGCTATTTAGGTTAATTGGCTTCAAAACCCATTATTAGCTATTTCTTTGTAATTTCTAGCTTTTTGCTAGTTTGGTGTTCAATTTTAAGTTGTTCAAAAAAAAAAAAAAAAAAAAAAAAGGGTTGAGCACGGGCACAGTGGGGTTATAAAACCCAAAGAGATTCAAATCGGTAGTAGAAGATATATACTATAGATACATCGGCTCACTCACTATTCCTCCTCAAAGTTGTGCAATTGAGCATTATATTGTATTTGCCATTTTGGTAGTTGAAGCTTTAAAGGAATGACTTGAGTTAATCGATATATTTGTATTTATGTATTTATGCATTATATTTATGTATAATTAAAAACATAAATTAATAAAAAAAAATGATATCTACAAAAATCAACTAATATCGTTAAAATAGACCCCTCCCAAGCTAAAACACGAATACCCAAACATCATTTCGGTCCGGGAATCGGTTATATTTTCATTCGATTGTTAGCCGAAAACCCAACCCAAAAAATCAAGAACCCAGCAGGTATACCCGAACAACAAGCCTACTTGAAACCACAAATTCTTTGTTGTTGAAACCTAAATTAAACGATTTTTTGTAATTATTTGTTTAAGAATAAATTCATATTATTTGTTTAAACACACGTACGAAGCAAATTAATAAAAGTATGTAAAGGAAAAAAAAAATCATAAATGCTTTGTGGAAAATATACACTGTAATTAGATTATTCAAAATAAGGTGTTGTTTGTTTTTTCGAATCGAATATTCGTGAAATCTGTGGACCACCTCTGCAATACTCTGTAACAGAATATGTGGAACAAACAGCTGCAACTCATAATAAGACGCATATTTGCTTTTTAACATCTACAGACTGTTGTAGTAAAACTGAAATTTAAATAAATAAATTTCATAAACTGAAAATAATTTTCAACACCGAAATTTAAAATAATTCTACTCTTAAAACATTGAAAGAGTACTAAAAAGAACATGTAAAAAAAATATATAAAACTTAAAAAAAAAAAAAAAAAAAAAAAAAAAAAAAAAAAAAAATAGGCTAACAACTTTATTCTAGAAAAAAAATAATTTTAAAAAACATAAAAAAGAAAATAATAAAAAAATTATAAAAAAAAAAAAAAGTGCAAATGATGTCCTACAAAGTTCCTAAAAAATTACACACGTTAGAAAAGATGAAATGAAAACTGAAAATATTATTAACAGAAACGGTAAAAAAATTAAACTTTGTTTTAAATCAAGTTCAAAAAATTTGGTGGAAACTATAATAAGAAATTGTATCAAATCTGTACATGAAAGTTTTACAAAAAAATCTAAGTTTAAAAAAAAAAAGTTAAAAAAATAACTTATACCAAAATTTAAAAAAAAACAATTCAAAAAAATGAAAGTTGAAGAGGTTTGAAGAGGTAAGTCAAGTGTTGCGCCACGCAGCACATGCGCAGAGGTATTGCAGTCTGGAGTCTTCAAAAAACAAACTGCTACCAGAGGGAAAGTGGTGCGCGTGTGCTACGCCGCAAAGTAGAAAGTGATTTGAAAAGTTTTTTTTAAACAAACAGCACCTAAGTAGTTATACATCATTTTTACTACACTTTTTATAAAAATCACCAACTCTTATAAAAATTACCTATTTTTATACAAATACACTACAAAGACAACATCTGTATTATATGGTGATTACAACTTTTATAAAGAATTGCTATTTTAATAAATTAATAAATAAAGTCAACTTGAATTTTTTATTTAAAAAGCTACACCCTACATTCTCCTCGTATAGCCACCCCACTCCTCCTTTCCCCCTCCTTCTTATTCGGCTGAAACCCCTTCCCTCCTTCCATCTTTTTCATTTTCTTCACCTCCTTCTTCAAGAACAAGCCATTTCTCTAAAGATTAATCTCCCTAAGTTGGTTTTTGATCTTTTGGTAAGTTTTTCCTTACTGATCTAGTGATTATATATATATATATATATATATATATATATATATATATATATATATATATATATATATATATATATATACACACACACACACTAGTTTTGTTATATTTGCACACACTAATATGCGTTAATATCCAAAGGATATTTCGTTCTTCAAGTGTTCTAAGCTTGAAATTGTTCATCTTCACCTCTTTATCCACTGAGAATAACAACTCAATGTGACTTCATACCCCTCATTTTCGTTTATATTCAAGTTTTACCGCGGGGGTGGGGGTGGTGGGGGGGGGGGTGTAATACAAGTAAACTTGTATAATTATACAAGTTGTTATACATGCTTTATCTTCATGTTGTCGAAAAATGTTATCTACATGAAATAATGTCATTACCTAGTATTATGAACATTTATGTGTGATATGTTGTTTAAAATAAAAATCTATGAAAAATGAGTATGAACATGCTATATGTTCATAAGAAAAAGTCATAAAAACAAAACTATAAAAACTAGGGTTTTTATGAACATAGTATAACTTTTCTAGCAAAAATGGTTTTAACCAAGTTATTACATCATTTTTTATGGGATATAAATCAAAATATGTTGTTTTGGACATATGTTATGAAACTAGTTATAAATACAAGGATTTGGTTTGCAAATAGAAAACCTAAAAATCTATCATACTATGTAAAAATTTAGGTATTCTACCAAAAATGGTCATGACTAGGTTATGGTACCATATTTGTGAGATTTGACCTAAAATATGTTGTTTAAACATATAAGGTTAGCTTGAATTAACTTCCACGTAGAATCGATTAGCATCCCTTGTGGATGATCTGAAGGGCCCACATACATCTCTATATATGAGGTCCAAAAAAACC